AAAAAAAATATCCATAATTCTACTTTTTCTTCCTATATTGACTCTTCTTCTTAAGGTAGAGACACATTTGAGTGTAGTAAATTGTATGTGTTTAACGGAAGGTATTTGTAATGGTTTTGTCCCATATGCGTCAAGTCTTCTTGCATGTCCAAAGTCTTTTTGTTAGTACCAACCCATTCACACTCACTCCAAATGGCACATATATGTACTGCAAGATAGAAAATGAAAAGTTAAACTATTATTAAGAGAATGTGCAAAGATTTTTTTTCATACTGATGACTTCTTGCTCATTTTTTAACACTTCTGCTTTATACAAATCATTAACCTCACATTTTAATTTTTTTTGCTCTACTTGTCACTGCTTGCAGACGCCAAGGACTTACTGTTGTGCTAACACTGAAGACTTGGAGACAGTTATTCACCATGTCCACAGCCTGTACCCTTCTGCTCCTTTTCTGGCAGCTGGGGTTTCAATGGGAGGGTAAGGTTTTCCCTTTCTAAAATACCTAAGAGGGAAGTGTTCTTATTAGCTACCTCCTAGACATGCTAACATAAGTGTTTTTTTTAATCATATCTTATCACATGTTTGAAGGAAGGAAGGAATTAATTTGGGTGAAGTTTAATATTTTCCTTGACTGTTAGTCTCTATGATCAAAGGGTACCAGTCTTTTTCCTCAGGGCAGTTCTGCTTTTGTGAATCTGAACCCCACAAAGCTGATTTGTGTCACATTGCTACCCCATTGGCCTTCTGGTCTCCATGCTTCTCCACCATTGCTTTGGCTGCATCCTCCTTGAATACTGGGGAAGCTGAACCTGCAGCATGATATTTGCTGTGAGCATGCTATATCATAAACATAGACCAAACACATTGTGTCTTTCCACAATGTCAGTATTTATGGAATAATAATAAATTCACAGGCTATACCACTTCTATCAGTGTTGCTAAACACTTGTCTGTTACCTGGTAGACATAAGCTAGACAATCACAGGTTCTTTTATTCCAACCTTAATTCCTAGTATCTGTAATACTCAAGTCATACATCACACTTTACACAGGTGTGTGTGTGTGTGTATATATATATATATACACACACACACACACACATATATGTTTCAGAAAGGCTAAGAAAGAATTAGGGCAGCCACAGGGGTTCAGAAGGCTGAATTGAGAGGAAAAGCAGAAAGCTGATATGAATGCAAAGAATTACTGTAGGTGATCAGATAAGATTACTGAATCAGCTAAAGAACTGACAGTTCAGGACACAGAACTGTCAAAGCACAGGAATTTATTCTAGGCCAAGGTTTGGACATCAGTAGTTTCACATTGTCAGTGTGGTGTCTCCGCTTGAGATCTTGGCTTGGAGTGGGGCTTGCATGGTCATCGAGGGCAGGAGAAACTGCATTCTGCTAAAGCCTGGGGACAGAGACTCAGAGGTGGAAGGCTGTGGTGATTTTCCTGGGCAAGGCCCATGTTGAGTGACCAGCGATCGGGTCCAGTTTCTGCTGAGCACAGTCTCAGGGTGCTCCTCCTTTTATGGGTCTCAAGTGAGGGCGTTGCATCACTTGGTGGTTTATGTGCTTGACAAAGTTGTGGGCCTGGCTTTTCCAGTATAAGTTCGATACACCCATGCATCCCTGTGCTTCTAGTCAATTTGATACATTCACCGGTGGTCATTCATATTAGCATTTATTTATCAGTTTGTGTCTTATGATTGTGCCAGGCAGACGGTGGTGGGTTTTTTTGTACAAACAAAGTGTGGTGTTGTTCCACCTCAGCACTTAAACTCAAAATGGAGTAGCTTATGACAAACTACTGCTTTATAAAATGGAGTAACAAAGGTTTAGGCACAGTCTGAAAACTACTGTTCTGTACACCGTGTAGTAACTCAGCAGAGCCTGATCTCCACAATGTATATCACTCCAGTCACAGAAATTCTCAAGTGACCTTCCAAATTATTTTTTTCATAGGTAGCATTTTGTTTTGTTTTGTTTTGTTTTGTTGCTGGGCAAATAGGCCTAATGTGGAATGTTCTCCTAGAAACTGAAATTTTGTTGTTAATCCCCTAATTCCAGCTGCTGCTTTATTATAATGGTTCGTGCTATTTGTTATTACATTAGAGCTTATTTGGAATTTTTATTTGCCATATTTAATATTTAGGCTTATTTCTACTAATTATTTATGTGTTTTTGTTCTAGTGAGAGAGAGCTTAAGGAAATTCAAATTTTTTTTATCTAGCTTTTTATTGTTTTAGATTCCTTACATCAGTGTCCAAAAACTACCTTCTAATGCTGGGGATCAGGGCCTCATGCATGCTAGGCAAGCATTCTACCACTAAGCTATACTCCCCCAGCCCCAAAGGTACTTTTTTAAATCAGTTAACACTTGAAATTTTAAAAAAAAATGCTTTTTCTTCATTTTGTAATTGATTTATCTGTCATTTCAGTTTTCACAACATCTTAGGAGTATGTATGCTTGAAAGTGAACAGCCTTTATTAATGACAGACTCTGAAAAATAGGCTTTAACCAGAGCCTTTTAGATTCTGATAAACATAAAACTAAGAAGGCAAGAATACATCTGTTACATTAGCATGGAAGGTCTGCCCTGACCTACTAAAGGAAGAAATCTGAATCAATGCAGAAAAAAGGCAGAATTTCTTCATTTTCCTTAACAGACAGAATTTAGTTTCTCTTTCCTTCCCCCCACATAATGTGAAGCCTAAAGGACAGGGTGAGAGCTGAACTTTTCCCCCTTAATCATACATTCTTGACTTTCTTTCTTTTTCTTACTTTCTTTTTTTTTTTTTTTTTTAAGGCCAGACCTTATATAAACAGGCCCACATTCTTTATTCAGAAGCTCCTGGGAAAAGCCTATTCATGCCACACTGAAGCCTCAGTGCTTGAAGGCAGAACTTGACCGTTAGCCTTTACAGCTGGTTGAATATTAATGTCTTGTAAATTACTTGAAAGAAGCATCCTTTCTAGTTGCCTAGCACTGTGACACAGTCCCAACTGGCCTTACAACACTTGGGGATGTGTTTTGAAGCTTGACACATTTTTCTTTTGGAGATGCAGCTGACAAAAGCATAGTCTGAGGAAGATTCTTAGGCCCAGTGCCCCCATGCACGCGGTAATCCCCACGCCTGTGATGCCTGGGGCCAGATGTAGGCTTTGAGCTATAGCTGAGTCAAGTCAGGGACCCCTTGCTACTATAGACTCAGATTCTAGTCTCCCATTGAGATGGTAAATACGCTTTAAAAATGTATAGCCATTCCAAATATATATGGGAGACAAAAATACACCCCATAAACTCATCACCCAGCTTCAATTAATTATCAGCCCACAGATACTCGTGTTTCATCAGTAGGATTCTCCTTCCCCACTCCTTCCCAAGTCTCATAATTGTTAGCTATATCTCAGACATCATTTATTCATATTTCAGTTGAGTCTAGAGATATAACTCAGTGGCAGAGTGTCTGCTTAGTATGCAGGAAGGAGGCCCTGGGTTTAATACCCAGCACCACAAAAATTAAGAAATAAATATTTTACTTGGATAATTTCTTGTGTAGTTTATGTTCTCATCAGTTTACAATCTCATACATCCTCTATCCAAGAATGATACAGTAAATGGATTTTTGGAGCAGGGAGATGGAATAGGGGCTTGCTCTGTCTAACCCAAGCATTACCCACAGTGTCTCCAGGAATGGTGCACAAAAACATTTTTAAAAAGTAAACACATAAATATTTCTAATGTTGTCTCTAAAAAGCAGATTCTCTCTTTTTTAAAAAAAAATTCTTATCCTACCTGAACAAAATTAATGTATTATCAAATACTCAGTCATTGCTCATATTTTTTACAATGTCTGTTTATTTATTTGATTTTATAGTTTATTTGATACAGGAACCAGATAAGTTTCACCCACATCTTGGGATTGGTATGTCTCTTAAGTCTCTTAATCCATGGGTTCTTTCTCCATCTCACTCTCTTTTTTCTTCCTTGTAGTTTTTTTCTTTTTTCTTTTGGTAATGGGGTAAGTAAATGGTTGTTTGTTTGTTTCTGTCAAAGTAAAAGAACCTTTTGGGGGGTAACGTCTTGGAATTATTTTGCTCCTGAATAATAACCACGGATTACCCAAACATGTTTGGTCATGTCTCTTCCTGGGTCTTTCTACTCCCTTCCAGCCCTTGCAGTTTATAAATTTAAAGCCTCCTAGCAATATCCGACCTTCAGCCGAACAAGTAGGACCACCAAAACTAGAACTCTAGAAAAATCCCTTTGCAGGAATGGAAGCACGACCCTTTATATGGCTTAGTGAACCACCATGCTATATCCAGCTAATAGAGGAATATTAAATTTTAAATATTAAATATTAAATTAATTTTCTAAAGCAACATGTCCACTTTCCTTCTAAAATTTCATCACATTCACCCTGAAAGTCATTCTTTCAGTTGGGGTGAGGGGAAAAGAGTGAAGAAGAATATTTCTCCTTTTTTTCCTGTTTTATAACCTGAGCAATTGAAAAAATTAATAAATAAATATTAAGTACAGAAAATAGAGAAATGGAATTTAGTACATCATCCTTTCTTTTAGTTGACAGTGTTAAGCTTAGATTTTTGAGATTATTAGATTAAATTCAGTTCTTGTCCTTCTTACCAGTATAGAATTAGGAAAACTGATCAAATAAAAGGAAAACATGGGACTGGAGATAAGCACAGATAGCAGGAAGGAGTAGGAAGAGAAAATAAGTTACTTTAGGCGCCAGTTGCTCTGCCACAACTCAGAAAGTCTAACTCTAGACTGGAGAATCCTCCAGAGCCTTGCTGTAGGGGACACGGGTGTCTCAGCGACTAGCATGGCCACCCAGACCAATTTACAATCTCTGGGGCACCACCTGGACATCAGTGGTAGTTTTACAAACTCCCCAGGTGATTCCAATGTGCAGTCACATTTGAGATTGACTCCCTGTGTGGATTTCTCTTGCGTTCTCATGCTTTACTTCATAGAAGGAAACAGATACAGAAATAACTGTATGTGTCCCATCCACAGTATATTTAACTGCATTACACATATGTGTATGAAGTGAAGAAAGAACAGAGATATTTGCTTATGTAAACACTGGTTTATATTTTTCTCCTCTATAATTAGTATGACGTTTACGCTTGGAAATGACATATCTTGGGCTGGGGTTGTGGCTCAGGGTTAGAGTGCTTGCCTAGCATGTGTGAGGCACTGGGTTAGATCCTCAGCACCACATAAAAATAAATGAATAAATAAAGGTATTGTATCCATCTACAACTAAAAAAAAAAAGTTTTAAAAAAAGAAATTAGGCATTTTGACAGATATAAAAATTTGTTACCAAGTTTCCTGTTTCTCCTCATTTTAGAATGCTGCTTCTAAATTACCTGGGGAAAATTGGGCCCAAAACTCCTTTGATGGCAGCTGCCACTTTTTCAGTTGGTTGGAATACTTTTGCTTGCTCAGAGTCATTGGAGAAACCACTGAACTGGCTGCTTTTTAATTACTATCTGACAACCTGCCTTCAGTCTTCAGTTAATAAGTAAGTCATCTTTAAAATTTTTTGTCTCAGGGCTGGGATTGTGGCTCAGTGGTAGAGTGCTTGCCTGGCATGTGAGGCCCTGGGTTCGATCCTCAGCACCACATAAAAATAAAGGCATTGTGTTGAGTCCATCTACACCTAAGAAATACATATTTTAAAAAAATTGTCTCCAAACTTTTAGATCACATGACCCAACAGTAAAAACATTTAAGGCATAACACTGTCAATATATGTATATTTGTTTATATATGACTTTACTATGTACCAGAATATTTTCTATGTGTGAATGTATGCAAAAATAAAAAACTATAAGCATAAGCTAAACTTATAGATAAAAATCATAATGTTGGGGCTGGGGTTGTGGCTCAGTGGTAGAGCGCTTGCCTGGCATGTGTGAGGCCCTGGGTTCAATTCTCAGCACTGCATATAAATAAATAAAGAAAATAAAGGTCTGCCAACAACTAAAAAAATATTTTTAAAAAAGTCATAATGTGGGCTGGGGATGTGGCTCAAGCAGTAACTCGATTGCCTGGCATGTGCGAGGCGCTGGGTTCGATCCTCAACACCACATAAAAAAAATAAAATAAAGATGTTGTGTCCGCCGAAAAAACTGAAAAATAAATATTAAAAAATTCTCTCTCTCTCTTAAAAAAAAAGTCATAATGTTTTCTTTGAGGATCACTGCTCTAAATCACTGTGAAATTATTTCTAACAAACGTCCGAGTGTGGTGGTACACACTTGTAATTCCAGAAACTCTGAAGGCTGAGGCAGGAGGGAGGATTACAAGTTCAAGGCAGCCTCAGCAAGTTAGCAAGACACGGTCTCAAAAAA